CATCCTGGGGATGTAACATGCAATTTCTCTCACTCTCCTGAATAAAATTGAATAAATAAGCCTCATGCTCCACTGAAGGTAGTTTTTTCTTCTTCTTCTTCTAAAACTCACAATGAAGCCAATTTCCTAAAACTTTTATTGATTTATTAAACAATTTGTTGACTTTCTCTTACATCTTTCAGATAAGCGCATAATTGCCTGTCTACAGTAATCAATATTTCATATTTACATTTCATCAATAAGCTGGCCAGAAACAAAAGCATCACTATCAAAGCAAACGCCTGCAACACTGAGGAGAGACTTACCTGAGGATGACGGAACAAGAATCACAGGTGGAGCGATCAGGCCTCCTTGGTCCAACTTGTGCTCTGCAATTTCATCTGCTCCATGCACTGATGTGGGGAAAAAATAACCAGTTACTGCTTTATTGTCATAGTTAATAACTAATCAAGAGAGGCACCAAGGGAACCCTCACAAGAGAATGACACACAAAAATCCACTTTCCTCCCTCACCCTATAGGAATCCTCTAATCTCAGCAGTTCATAATGTGTTGTTTTCCTCTCCTTTATGCTCCCCAGTCCTTTCTCTCCCTCTCTGGTGCTCCCTCCCCTCCTTTCTTACCCGGTTGTCGAGGCGACAGAGTCAGTGAGAGACATTTCTTCCCAGAAGCTCTTCTCTCTCTCTCTCCCATTGCTTTGTTTGCCCTGCTCTGCTGACTGGCTCAATAGTAGAAGAGACACAAGGAGGGAAACGCTGCTCAAAAACCTCCCCAACATCACTGCTGACAGGCTGGGGAGCCTCCGGGGATTTTATACCTTAGTTACAGCATCACTTGGAATGAATCAGTCTTTGTTCGGCTGGTTATAGGTGGCCAAAATGATGCAGTTGTCACGATACTGCAGCCGAGCCCCCTCCCATCGTGTCAGAGTTGGTATGGTCTAGTCTAGTCTCAGTTGGTGGGGAGGTGGGGTGTGTTATAAGAGGGTGATCAGAATAACTGGCTATAGTGGGAAACAAAGTGCAAGCAATTTAAAATAATCACCTGGAATAAGAGTTTATTAGCTTTCTGTTCATTTTCATTTTGGAACACTGTGCTCTCACGCCGGATGTAATGAAGCTGTTTAATTGGGTTCTCTGTTCCAAATGCAGTTTGACTGCTGTGTGTTCAGCACCACTAATATGTATTGGGGATTGTAAATTCAGCATTGACTTGACTTGTCATGTTTGCCTTGCAGTGCCAATAATGCATTCTCCCTGACTGTAGCGCCCCTGCTCACTCTCATCCAACATTAATGACCAGCTCTCTACTCTTACTGCTACGTTCAACTCATCCATCACCTCGCTTCGCAACCTCTGTTCATGTTTAACTTGGATTGCCTTGACATCAAAAGGCAATAAGCTACCGTCTAAATGGGAGCAGATAAGTCTGAAATGAAATTTTATTCTTTCTACAGCAGCTGGTGCAGTGAGGAGTCAAACACGGAGGAAACAGAGGTCTGGAAACCGGTGCTTATATGCCTGCAGTATGTACATGTGTGTGTTTGTGTATGTTGGCGCCCTTCAGGACGCTTTCCTCCATCCTGTTCATGTGACTGTCACACAGCATCTGGCAAAACAGACTTTTTCCATCACTTGAGATCAATAACTTGAGGAAGAGTAAGCCTAATCACATCTATTTCGGTGGCACTGTGGGTGACAAACAAACAGATCTCAGGGAAACTGATCAATTGTTACAGCTGCATTTCATCAATGACACCCAAACAGACTCTTATCTGAACAGTGTCGTTTGTTAGGGTTTAATGAGTCCCTCCACACTCAACAGACTTCATTCAGTAAACATGTACCACAAATATTGGCAGGCAAGAACTCAGAGGCAGTTGACACATGATAATAATATACACTTAAATAATACAAAATATACATTCATTCATATCCCCAACACATGCACACTGAACACACACATGCAACCTTACACATGGTTTTCAGAAAGACAGACTGACTGAAGACAGAAGGAGTCAGAGCTACTGCGCGAGGGTTTCGTTATAGCAGGTCTTCCTGAAAAAGCCTCATTTGTAAGATAAATATTAGATTTTTGGATATAGAGATTCAGTTTGGGAGAAATCTGACTCTCGGAAAGTGGGAACAGCAGATGGGAAAAGATGGATAAACATCAAGCAACATTACATAATGGAATGATGACTTGCACAGAAGCAAATGGCTCTGACTAAATTAAGATGTACTTTTTCAGTTGGGAAAACAAAAAAACTCCATGCAGGAGGTATCCGCATGCATACTGAGTCTCTTATTCCTGGCAGCAGGTTGTCTGTATAGTTGGAGAGGGTCGATAATATGGAAAAAGCTTTAATTTCTGAACTACCAACAGTGGAAACAAGTGAATAGTTGGTGAAAAGAAGCTGCAGAAAATGTCAGTTCTATGTGGATCTAAAATCTAAATTCCTTATCCCTAAAATACCACCTCCTGACATTTAAAAAAAAAAACATTTCAATTATAGTAATCCCCTAATTGCAATGTATAGACACACGACATACTATAGCTGTTAGGAGTCCCCTAAAAAATCTAAACAGAAGGAAATATATGTTGGGAATGTTTGGTCCTCTTGGTAATGACTACACACATGACTGGATCGTTAGTGCAACAGTGAACAGTAGAAATGGGATGATATGTAAATGTGACTCTGGCGAACAAACCTGCTATTGATTAGGACTACGGAGTTGGAAAAACAATCTGCAGTCAACCTGTAATTTCTGAAAATGACTGCGCTGGGTCTTCAGTGTTGCATTGCAGTCAGCATTGATTGAGATGAAATTTTCACTCTATTTCTATCTCTGGCGAGCTCCCCAACAAAGGAGATTGAAGTCGAAACGTCTAATCTAATATACTTTTAGCACCCGCTAAAAGGCCTCAGAGGAAGCCCGGTTTTTGGAAACTATGGAATTGTACAGTGCGAAAAAAAATAAAAAAATAACACCCCCGAGAACAACTTAAATACTCCACACATTATATACATTTCACATTTACAACATAAATCTTATGAGGCAACAAAGACGTTTTCTTTCGCAATAGATTTTGTTCGTGGCTGTGTCTTTCACATTTCAACTTTGCAATAACACTTTCGGCCTGAGTGTTTAATTAATCTTTCTGTCAATGTTCACAGTGAAAAGCAACAGCCCCAGTGTGCTGTTCAGGGGAACAGCTGACGGGAAAAAGTAGATCTAAATGTGCTATGGTCATTGGTCCATGAGAAAACAGTGGTACTGTCGCACATTAACACACAGACACTCACGCACACTTTGTCTGCTGTAAACTCACATACAGTCGTATGAAAAAGTTTGGGCACCCCTGATCATTTTCAAGATTTTCCTTTACAAATCATTGGTTGTTCGGATCAGCAATTTCAGTTAAATATATCATATAGCAGACAAACACAGGGATATTTGAGAAGTGAAATGAAGTTTATAGGATTTATAGAAAGTGTGCAATAATTACTTTAAAAAAAAGAAGCAAGGGCAAAAAATTGGGCAACCCAAAAAAAAAAATAAAACAAAAATTAAGAAAACCCCACTTCGCAAAAAAAAAAACCCCCGAAACACCCTATACAGCCCAAAAAGAGCCTCGAGACTCGGGGAAAAGATATTTGACAACACTCCTCTACAAAAAACATCCACAGCACACACAGGTGAAAGGGTCCCAGAACAGACACACTCCGCTAAAAAACACAACACAGATTCAAAAAAATACACAGCTCGGGACACAGAGAGCCACACCACAACACAGTACGTGTTCCTCTGCATGAATGCCTTAGTAGAATATGAGCAGTGTTTCGGGTCGTTGTCTAGTTGAAGTATCCAGCCCCGGCGCAACTTCAACTTTGTCACTGATTCTTGAACATTGTTCGCAAGAATCTGCTGATACTGACTGGAATCCATGCGACCTTCAACTTTAACAAGATTGCCAGAACCTGCACTGGCCACACAGCCCCACAGCATGATGGAACCACCACCAAGTTTTACTGTGGGTAGCAAGTGTTTGTCTTGGAATGCTGTGTTATTCTTCCACCATGCATACCGCCCCTTGTCATGTCCAAATAACTCAATTTTAGTTTCATCAGTCCACAGCACCTTATTCCAAAATGAAGCTGGCTTGTCCAAATGTGCTTTAGCATACCTCAAGCGAATCAGTTTGTGACATGTGCACAGAAAAGACTTCTGCCGCATTACTCTCCCGTACAGCATCTCCATGTGCAAAGTGCACTGAATAGTTGAACGATGCACAGTGACACCATCTGCAGCAAGATCATGTTGTAGGTCTTTGGAGCTGGTCTGTGGGTTGAGTTTGACTGTTCTCACCATCCTTCGCCTCTGCTTATCTGAGATTTTTCTTGGCCTGCCACTCCAGGCCTTAGCTAGAACTGTGCCTGTGGTCTTCCATTTCCTCACTATGTTCCTCACAGTGGAAAATGACAGCTGAAATCTCTGAGCTAGCTTTTTGTATCCTTCATCTAAACCATGATGTTGAACAATCTTTGTTTTCAGGTCATCTGACAGTTGTTTTAAGGCTCCCATGTTGCCACTCTTCAGAGAAGATGCAAAGAGGAGAACAACTTGCAACTGGCCACCTTAAATACCCTTTCTCATGATTGGCTTCACCTGTGTATGTAGGTCAAGGGTCAATGAGCTTACCAAACAAATTTTGTGTTCCAATAATTAGTGCAAAAGGTATTCAAATCAATAAAACAACAAGGGTTCCCAAATTTATGCACCTGCCTACTTAATTTTAAGTAATTATTGCACACTTTCTGTAAATCCTATAAACTTCATTTCACTTCTCAACGATCACTGTGTTTGTCTGCTATAAGATATATTTAACTGAAATTGCTGATCCGAACAACCAATGATTTATAAAGAAAAACCTTGAAATGATCAGGGGTGCCCAAACCTTTTCATACGACTGTACACTCATTCTCTCAAACTGTCCTTTGACAAGGGAACTTTCCTCTGGCTACCACAGATGGGTCTCCCGGATCTCAGAGATGATGTTATTGGCTTTTTTAAGCGCCTGAAAAAGAAAAACGGGAGAGAGGCTGGTAAAATTGCTGGCCTTTAAATGAGAGATAAAAGAAAAAGAGAAATTACTTGCTGTTCATGATGTTCAGAACCTATTCAGAGAACAAAAGCATCATCCAATTTTACCTCAAGCATCTGAGCAACCTCAGTCCGCTGCTGTGCCGTGTCCTGTGACTCAATGAGCAGCTCCTGCAGCAGTGGCTGTTTGTAAAGCTGACCCACCAGCTCGCTCTGCAGATGCTCTTTCACATGGTTCACCAGAAAATGCATCACTGTCTTGGGCACACTGCAGACACACAGTCCCAAGAAAGTTGCTAAAGTTAGAAAATCGTTATCAATAACAACAAGCGAGCTTCACAATAGAAACCAGGGAGAGAGGGTGCCTTCGGCTCCTCTGGAATTGTTGCAGTCAAACCTGTCTTGGATGCTTTTGCGGACAATGAGGAAGTAGCACTTGATGAGACGCTGGATGACCTCACAGTCCCTCTGTTCCCTCGTACTCAGCTTGCGGGATACAGGCACCGCCTGGCAGAGAGGGGCAAAGTAAAATCTTGATAGCCGGCAATAAATTAACTCCTAAGTGTTTAGTTCTACTACTAATCCCACCACTCACTGTGTCAAGGAGGTTAATGGCCTGGCCTTTGCTGGGGCTGCCAAAGCCTGTGGCTGGGGCTTTGTCTTCTGCAACCTTCTCATTCTTCCAGCGCTTTCCTCCGTCAAGGGCTTCTGCCTGTGAGTAAAAAAAAACGTGGATGTCAGAGGGTGAAAGCAATTTTGGCTGAGCCTGGAATTCCACTAAAAACTTTGAGAGGGACTGTAATGTTTAGATGTGAAACATAATGGTTAAGGCTTTACAGAACACAGCTTCTGCTGTTTACCCTCACAGAGTAAATGACAAATCTTAGTATTTGCTGTAAGGTGCAAACAACTACCTGCTGACTGTTGACAGATGCTGAGACCTGCGCTGCATCTGTGAAGTCTGGATGCTTTGTGTTGATGTAGGCAAGCTCTATTGCTACTAAATTGTGTACCTAAAAGGAAAAACACAGAAACAAACACTCCAGACAGTTAAAAGGTCTTGGCTGTAGGCTATAATAATAAATATGAAAGATCATCTTAGCTGAGCTGTGGATTACCATTTCATTAGTAATCGGCAAGCGCTTCCTCAACAACCCTGTCACTACTTCCACAATCGAATCATGCAGTTTGGGAAATCGTAGAAGCTCCTTGAAAACACAAAGACATACATTGTTAAAATGCTGCTGCCATAAATAATGCAGCACTGTTTTGCAAAATCCGTGAAATGTAAAGTGCTTCACCATCTCTCGGCTAACCTGAGTGCTGAAGGAGGAGCAGTGCTGGATGATCCTCTGCAGCTCCTCGTGAACGAGCTCCACACAGCGCATACTGGGCTCCTCTAGACGCTTAATTTGCCGCTTCACCAGCAGCTCAAAGGATACCTCGGGCACAAAAAGCGCCGGCCGTGGACCCTGCAGGGCAAATCACACACACAAATATAAACACTCACACACCAGCTTTGCTATTTACATGCTATTTTCCCAAATGAGAGGAATTAGTATTTAATAAACAACACAAACAGAGGTGAAGAAAAGCTTACTGTGGCATTGCGGATGGCAGTGAGGATATCAAGATCGGTCAGTCCTCCCAGGGGGTCGATGGACTGCAAAGTGCGGCCAAAGGTCTCATGGAATATGTAACAGATCCGAGCACCTCCACAGCTGCAGAAGAGATGAGTTCAGCTGTGACACCAGTGCTGTTTCTTAGTGCTGTGTGTCGGCAATGTTAATTGTGCTAAAATTAAATGCAGTCAACCAAAAAAGGTCAATATCTGCTTCTCACATATTTACATGAATTAATCGCATAGTGATAAGAGAGCTGTGGAGATGAAAGTGCCAACAGAAGATGCTGATACTACTTCAATTTACACTTACATTACCCTGAGGACATTACCCTCATGACACTGTGCACCAATATAAGTAAAATGCTGAGTTGTGCAGCAGCTACTGAATGAAATATAGGAACATTGTAAGAAAGTTTGAGACAGTTTACTAAAGCATGAAACAAAAGCTGTGTGCTATCATCCTCAAAATGCATATTATAATAAAGAGGCTACAACAGTGAAGTCAGACTCACAGCTCTGAGGTTTGTATGTGCCTGGCTGTGCCCTCTATGGTGTTGCAATAATCACTGGCAAACTTGGTGACAATCTGCAGCAGAGTGGCGCTGTGGTCCTCTACTGGCTGCCCATAGCTGTTGAGCCGTGCCTGGTACTGAGAACTCAGAACAGTCACTCGGGCTTTGAGGTCTGGCAGGCAGTCCCGGATGTGGTGCATGAGCAGTCTGCTGAGAGTTTTGGCCAGATAGCGTGAGCCAGCACGGGACGCGAGCGAAGGGTAGTGGCGCTGCAGGAAGGCCTGCTCATCCTTCATTGAATCCTCCAGGCTCTTTTGGGTATTGATGTCGTGCTGGCTCCTACAAGGAACAACAACAATGAATGGGAGTTGAGTAAGACAAAAGAACAAAAAAAAAAAAATAACCACTTTAATATAAAACTAAAAACATTGCATCTCTTAAATGAAAGAAGACCGGGCTTAGATCACCAAAAGTAAGAAGTTCATTATTTCAAACCTGTTAACCACCCCGATAATCCCGAGCCTGACTGGAATGACTCGGCCAAGAAGGACCTCCAGCGCATCAGTCCCTGCATCCATCAGGTCCAGCTTACTGACAACCAGCAATGTTCGACGACCTGACAGACACACAAGCACAGCATTCACAGATCATTTAGTCATCTTTCATACTGGCAAAGTTAGCAGGAAATTGCATAGTAGGACATAACAGAAGACAAACCAGTGACATGTTGCTGACAGGACGGGATTTAAAGCTAGCAGGGCAACATTTGGGCACAGAAACAGATATCCTTCTCCACAACAGACATTTCTAGGTCATACTGGCAACATCCCGACCAATTATTACAGGCACACTCTCATTGATCCAGCTATTTTTCAGAATGCATCATGACAGCACCATTAATTTTCCAAGCAACCATTAACTATCATGATGCTGTTAACTGTAAAGACTAACAGCCTCAATAGCCTGAAATGACTTGAGTATAATTATAATACAGTCTCCCTGCACATTTAATAATTTAAAATGCACTTCTACTTGAAGCCTGTTATGTAATAAGCACAGCGAGATAGGAAACAAAATTAGGATGAAATCTGAGGAGAAGAAGTGGCTGTATACAAAATGTCCTACCATCTGGATCAACCTCACGAGCCAATTTCAGTGCATCAGAGGTGGCCAAGTCAGAGTTGGCAGGGGACACTGCAAGGATGAGGGAGTTTGGATTGGAGATGAAGGACAAGATCATCTCTTGCACTTGAGCCTCAATGTCCTCTGGCTGGTCTCCAACAGGAACCTGAGGCAACAACAATAAGCAGCCGGTGTTACAGTCACCACAGCACAGATGCTGCGCTGCTGTGAAACTGTGATGATTACAGATATGCAATTCAATCAGCATTAATGATTGTTTTGTGCCAATGTGTTTGCACAATTAAAACAAAATCAGCACCCTCATCAAGTGGCTCACTTTACCTTAGTAATTCCGGGTAAATCAACGAGAGTGAGATTAAGGACTTTGGGGGAGAAAATCTTCAGATATATTGGCTCAGGACTGATTCCCTAGAAGATATGAAAATAAGAAAGACAAAAAATCATGAGTCCAATGTAAACACCTAAACTTAAGGTATCACTAAGTTTACATCAAAGCTTTTTCTCACCTTATTGTCTCCTGAGCTGCGTTCAGTCTCTGCTTCAATTTCCCGACGAATTTCCTGAAAATCTGCAAAGATCTGTCGACAATGTGAGAGAATGATGCATCACCTAAACACCCTACATAATACAGGACAAAAGCACATCATTTGAATCTTTGAGATAAATATACCTGGTTCTTGCAGTGCAGGAATGTACCCCATTCTTCAGCCTTGACACCTGACCAAAAAAAGAGTGAGTGCAAGTCATTCCACAGAAAATTCAGACAAAATTACAACTTCGGGAGACACAATGGGAACCCAAAATATTACAAATTCACTCATATATAATGCGGGACACATGAAGATGTTAACAAACAAAAAATGTCTGTGAGAGTTCACAAAAGAAATGATGTGACTGAAACAAAGAAAAGTCCATGCAGAGCAAATATAAAGAGACCTGGGTAGCTGTTTTGGGCATTTTGTTTTACCCCATTTCCTGAAAAAGTAAGGAAGAAGAAGAGGAAGAAAGACTGTATGTTAGCAAAGGGAGATCAAGGACCTACGAGGAACAGCAGTTCAAAACAGTTAGTGACAGTGTCATGCCTCAGTGCTAAGCAAGCACAAACTATAGCAAAGAGTCGCCATGCATAGACAGAAATAACAAAACTCAGGTCTTTCTTAAAAACTGCTGACACTTCCCATAGCCTAACTTTCAAAACTTGATTGTGTGTGGAAAAGAATGTTTTATTCAACTTCACTCTGAAACACAATAACATTAGCAGATTCATATTTGGTTACCATTCTCAATCTTCAGTCTCTCCTGTGGAGGGGCAACATTAATCAGCTGCAACACCAGGGGTCGTCTTGTGACTATTCCTGATCCTCGAGGCAAGAAGTCTCGTCCAACCAGGCTCTCCAGCACAGAGCTTTTTCCACTGCTCTGTTGTGGCACACAATGAGAGCAATTCAACTCTGATACAGTCACCTGCAAAGTTTATCTCAAGTAGGAACATGCCCTTCAGAATACTTTAGTTTCTGATTTAAGAAATTACAACTATTAACACAATGTTTAGAGATCTGAACTTCAGTTAAAGCAAGCAGTGGCATTGAGGTAAAGTTAAACTGCAGACAATGGTGAGGTCATTAATTTTATTTTATTATTTAAGGGCTGACCTGAGATCCAACCACGACTATCTGAGGTAGCTGTATGACCTCTGCGCCCACAGTGAGAAAGACTTCCTGCAGCCGGTTGATGGTGGGAATCAGAGTTTCCATCCTGGCAACAGACTGACCACTTTTACTAAATAGGGAAAAGAAAACAAGCAGGAATTGACACATAGGAAGTAAAGCAGCGTAACGGAGGTGACTCTAAAGATCTAACGCGTTTTAAGCAAATACTGCTGATAAAAGTCTAAGTAGACTGAAGCTGGCTGATTCCAAGTCGCTTCGCCAATGGAAAAGTGGTCCTGATGAGAGGGGAGTAACGCCCCAGGACCAGTTACAGCAACACCGAGCCGATGCATCCTGGATCACACACACTAGCTTAAAGAAGGATTTTAATATGAAAAATGGCTATTAGTTATCAGGAACCGCACTGACACCAGGTATGAGTTAAATGTCGACAAACTGTAGCATCAGAGGCCGAGAGACTCGATAACATCTGCTAACGCTAGCTTGCTAAAGCTAATTGGTAACGGCAGGAAGTGCAGAACTGCTAGCTTTGTGCTAACGCTAGCTTTGCCGCTTGAGAAACAGATGCTCCATTCTGACCTTATCGGTGTTCAACAAAAAACCCCTTCTTATCCAACTTGTCCGTCCTTCATACTTTGTAGAAAGGCGTCAGAAACACGGCATTTTACCCTAACTTATCCAAAATTAGCAGCACAAGACACAGACCGTCGTCCACTTCGTAGGCGGTACTGATTTACTCTCTCAATCTGATTGGTCATAAAATATGACTCATGAGCTTTCCTGTTGTCTGATTGGCTCACACAAAACAATCCAGCGTTTGGCCCCGCCTTCCGAAGTTCCTCCATATGAAACATCCTTTTTCGTTTTCTTCTAACCACAAGTTTCATGCAAAAAGCTTAAAAAAAAAATCACCAACAGCCTTTATCACTTTTGAGACTTTGTAGCATAAAATAAATATATCAGTACACAACACAAGAGGAAACATGTATTTTTTTCTGTGTTTTAATGTCTGTATATATAAACACAATATTTACAAATCATACAATGGCCATCAGTAAGTTACGGGATAAAACATGTATTACCTTCTCACATTTGGTTAACAGAAAACACCCTGTCACCATTCAACACAGACATTACTAATAAATACCCTCCAGTAGAAGTTAGTGTCCCCTGGGATTCATAGCAGCCAGAGATCATGTGAAAACAACAGCATAAATGGATTCCTTTGTATTCATATATTATGTGATCAGGTCTTGAGTCATTACTGTGCCATCAAAAACAAGGGCCAGTTCAAAGTGGCCATGTTTTCTTATCCAAGTCCTTTGTACATGGACAAGAAAGCCCTATTGCTGAGATAATCAACAGTCCGTGTAATCCATGTTCATTTGGCCACTGATTAGGCACACACCAGGGGCTCTTTGCAAGAAAACTGATATTGTATTTTCCACGGCCTCACACGCTAAACACTGTATGCATCTCCAAGCATTGAGCGCTTCTTTTAAAAAAAACAATCAGAAAAAGCGGTTTTAAACAAGGCAATCTTAGTCCATGTATGAGGTGTCCATTCCCTCGCCCTCTGGGTGAAGAAGTCTTCCCGCCAAACGCTCAATGTCATCAAGGCTCAGCTGTCGAAGTGAACGTTCATAGTCCTGGAAGAAAAAAAAAAACATTGCAAATCAGCAAAGTAAAATATTTGACTACATTTGTTTTAAGCATGTTATATGTGAGGGGAAATTGTTCACTTATTAACAAGGCATTGAGGATGGGAGGGATAACTATTTTTATTAGTTGTAGTCCAGGTCAATGCAGACCTAAAGCTAAACCAGGAAATTTCAAATATTTGCAGTTTCAAATGGCAACAAAAGATAAATCTGACCCCATACCGTCTCTGACAGTTTACAAATGTAGTAGCTGGATCACTCGGCCAGTGACTCTCACTCAGACGAGGTGTTGTCTCACACTGACTAAAACTAATGGTGCATAAACAGCACACCTTAACTGACTCAATCAAAGATTTCCAAGTTTATCACCAAAAAGTTGCCATGAAACAGCCAAGTTATACCCGTGGTAAGTTGGAATGAATCTTAAGATAATTACACTAACTGTATGAGCTGTGAGGTTTCACTTCAATGCATGATGAACAATGTTTAACAGAGTATCAATTAGGGTTGAAAATATTCATATGACTTCTATTTACAGGTTCCATAAGAAGTATTTGCACATTTGGCATGTTTATGTTGGTTGCTGGCTTTCCATATTCACAGTGTGTTGTGGGTTCTACTGGTGTGTTGTTCTTCTTGTCTAGTTCAAATGACATACTCTATTGATCCAAAGACCACCCGTGACCGGTACTATTTGATAAAAATATCATTATCACACGATAATTACCAATTTTACGACTTCACAAGCCTTGCCTGAACACTATTAAATGACCAACATATTGAACTGTCGGACATGCAGAGCCTTAAATGATAAACTTGCAGTTTCCTCTGGGTTTGGACTAATGAATGTCTTGGCTGTGTTTGGCTGAGACGCTGAAATGTTTGGGGGCTTAATAGCCTGTTACGATGTGTAATGACTAAAATGGGAAATGGGAAGATGCAGTCTTTAAACTGAAGAGCAGCATTTAAACGAGACAGGACAAGAGGCAAAGGATGAGCGACCCATTACAAACTCTACAGATAACTGAACTCTGAGTTGATAATCCCGAGATGAGAAACTCAAAAGGTTTTGATTCCAGAAGAGCAGATCAGAGTTAGTTCAGTGAACTCTAAGTTCACATGCATGTGTGATTAAAGGGGGAAAAAACACATTGAAAATGAGTAAATAAAGAACAGACCATCGATTTTAATCTACTGCAGATAGAAAGGTGGAAGCCTGCTCTGGAATGGAGAAAACAGTCAATAAGTTAACACTATTATATTTTATTCAGCATTGTCCAGACATTATTTAGCAGAATTGAATTTCTTAAATATATGAAGTAGTGCTGCAATCCTACTGTATATTAGATTACATGTTTTAATATATTTACCCAATTGTAACCCGACTGCGGCAAAGTGCTAGTAAGAACAGAAAAAGGAATCAAACAGATGTAAAGTAGTTTTTTAGGGACCTGTGTTTGTGATAATCCTACTCAGTAATAATGATTTTAATGATGAAAATGCATCAAAGTTGAAACCAAGTTTAGGTTTATGACCCCCTATTATTCATTTTGAAATATTGATCAAATGCATTTAATTACTATATTTAAACATGCTGCAAATGAAAAACATTGGAACTGAAATGCTGTCAAAATGAATAGGGACTGTATGCAGGCTTTATTCAAAAACGTCCCTTTAAACGACATTATTCCAGTTTTTTAAATCTTACTGTAGCTGCACTACAATAACCATCACTCAGCTATATTCACATATTCTCAAATGTAATATAACTATGAAAGAAATGTTCCATCAGTCCTACCAGTCACAATATCAAAAACGATTATTCAGTTTTATGTGCCTAAAGCCTTTTTAAACAGCCGTTACTACATTCATGTACGGTAAGTGTTTTAGTACCGACTGAAAGTCTTAAAGTTGTCTTAATGTCCTCAGAATCACAAAGCCATAAAGAAGCACTTCATCTGACAATTACTCCACAGGGTGTCATATCTGATGACCAAATGATCACAACAGTGGTAACGTCAGTGAAGATGGGTCTTTGGTAACAAACTAAAACTATCCAGCAGGGATTTTGATCTCTTCCCAGAGTAAACTTGATATGTGCTTTGATATGGATTGTGTGAATGAAGAAATTAAACTGTGAGCCAGATAGTTCCCTAAGGCCCAGCAGGGGAGGAAACCAATAAAAACTCTGGTTTTGTTAAAGCAAACTTGCCAAGGAGGAAGTTAGCGCACCCTGAGTGTAAGCCAAGTCTCTTTCTGGAACCAAGCTACACTTATTGTCTCTTAAATCAGGTATAACACACTCAAGAGTTACTAAACCAACTTTCTCAAAATCATGAAAGGTGTCAGTTGGAAGAATATTGTCAAATATTCATATTTTCACATTTTCAGATATGAAATAATTTTGTCCTCACCACCACATGTCCATTTATCATCCATTATATATATTATATACTCCAGCAATGCATGAGAACATTGTGCTATTCAACAACTGTAAATATCTATAACTGTCCACTTGTCTGGATGCTCAAGCAAACATTTAGCTTTTATCAGATTACAATGCCAGGTTGCAAAAGATGTTGTATTTAAATACCTTAATAAGCTGTTCGTGAACTTTAGCTGCATCTGCTGGACTGAAGTGTCTGGCAAGTATAGTGGACACAGTCTGCCACACTCCTCCCTGTGTGCTGCTGCTGCCACCGCTGCTGCCGGCAGCCATCCCTGAAGCTCCAGTCCTCTCTCCCACAGGACGGATTACCAGATTCAATTTAGCATCTGGCCCAATGGAGTAATCACTCAGTCTGTGTTCATCTGCGGCAAGGCAATATAATATGCCATAATTAAAAATGCAAACGTTTAAAGCACATAGAAGATAAGTGGTGGATCTAACAATTACAGTTATGCAAAATACTTGACTGCTGGAAAATGTACCTGCAAGAGCTTTCCCTTTGTAGAGTAACCGCTGCTGGTTTGCTGGAATATTGAGACGTTCAGACACAAGTTCCTTCACTGTGGAGACCTTTTCGTCTTCAGTCACCTGGGAGATTAACAACACAAGCATGAAGCCACACTCATGATCGAAGTACACAGCACAAGAGAGTAAGCACATTGTAAACAACCTCAATTCTTACTTTAAACTTTGCAAAGTGATTAAGAAAAAAATGTACATACACAAGTGACAATTTGAATCAGTTCTTGGTGATGGCATCTTAGATACACTTTTTCTCTAAAATTCAAACAGTGACTTTTTAGTAACTTAAAAACAAATTCTGAAAAATGCTGTAAAGATAGTCTGTGGAGGGCAGTTACAGTGTGGGTGGACACTATTTTATTTTTAGAGCAAAGTTTGGAAAGAAAACATAGTTTTGATCATCGACTGTTTAAAAGCAGAGGTTAGAGTTACATCTCTGCTGAATACAAAGTTGTGTTTGGTTTGAGGAATGTCTGCCTATCTGATACATGTATTGATTGCTTAAAAACTGCCTGTGCTAGAGATTACAGGCAGTATTATCTGTTATTGAATGAACCACAAAAAAAACATCAGACCAATTCAGCAGCATACTGATCACACAAAAAAAAAAAAAAACAATTGTGGTAGACACACACACACACACACTACACTGATAAAGTTGCCACTCTCCCTTTATTCAGCGGAGTGTGCTGTGGGTGTTTCTACATGTATGTGGCCTGGTATACCCGCAGTTTGTGCCTCACGTTGTAACGATATTACTGTAAAACACAAGAGGCACACACTGGGGCTAGGACTAGTCCACAGTAAACAAATGACGTCACAAACTGATGACAACAGCTCATGCCACTTGTGTTTTTAGGTTACACTGCGCTGGCCTAACCAAAACATTTTCCTAGGAGACTGACTTATTGACGCAATTGCCAAGTGACTTCCCTTTTCTACAAAGTCACCAAATAAGGACTTAAGAGAGCTCCCAGCCAGCTGCTGAGGCTAAAGTGGCAAGTTAGAGGAGAGAAGGGACAGAGAAAGTCTGTTCACGTTACATCCTTTAGAATATAGTTTAGGCCTTTTCAAGTATTATTTATTAGCTTCTATTCACAACAGAGACCAGTGAACATTTTTTAGCTATGTTTATTACTTATTTTGTCTATAGTATAAAGTCATTGAGTATTTTAAGTGCATATATGTACAATTCATTTATGATACGTGTTCTGTCTTAATGATACGCGTTTTCTGACCTATAATAATACCTGTTTGTATTGGTCCTGAGAGGAATATAATGTTATTCCACTATTTACTTTGTGTGTTGACTCAGGATGACAATAAAGTTGTCTTGACACTTGGAGGGTTTACAGTTCGTTTCCCATGGAAGCGGCTAGCAAGCTAGCTACAGTACGTAGGGAGAAGATGTGTCTCTACAAGTAAGTCATTTAAGCTAAATTGTGTGGTGTTTGACAACTCGTTTTTACATCCAAGAATCATACGCACGGTCGCTTTCCCCACAGGTAGCTCAGCATGTGACATGACAACCGCTACCGGGGGAGCTCCTAGCCGATGCTAAGTTAGCATAGTGGAGATCACAATTGGCCGTTAGCTAGCTCGGCGGTGCTTCACTTACCTGGACGCTGCACTCTTTTCCTTGAAGCGGTTTCACTGTGAGAATCATTTTTGGCTCAATATAACAAAACCACACTGTGCGTTCAGAAGGCTGAGTGATAAAATCTACCGAAAGCAATGCCACTTTGTTAGTTAGCGATAAGCACCGGGGTTCTTCTCTCGTTAACAGTCCATCTTCTTCTGCGGCAGCTGCGCACTGATCTCATGTGCACACTGCCGCCACTCCCCGGCTGGAGAGTGGTACTGCAGCTGAGGACAGCACCGAAGACAGCGGCAAATTATTTTCTCTGTCCTACTTGGAATGGCCCCAGCTTAATTAAATATTAAAAGGCAAAAAAAGGATAGAGCTATTAGTCATATTATTATTAAAAATCCTAGGTTATAGTTTCGTTTTTTATGGGATTACACACCGATTAAAAAAAATTGCAAAAGGTTATCTTTGCCTGTGTCATGTTGAACAAATTTGTGGGCCTTGTGACTTGATTTTCTGTTTTCTATTCATTATGGAGAAATAAGTCAGTGTGACGTTCATCACAACTAGTTTTAGCATTTTTTAAATTTCATAGCCACTGTGATTGATGTCTTCACACAATTGTACAGATAATTTAGTTTTTAATGAACCTAATACATGTTAAAATCTTAAAGGGGAAAAAAGGAGAAAAAATAAGCTTTCTCACTGGCAATATAGGGAACTGTTGGATTTTTATGTATCTTTGTTCGGCCTGCAACTTTAGTTCTAAATTAGTCAGACTAGCCTCCATAATTAATATTACTATAGGGTCTTAGCCTGAACATTTCAATTAGTTTGGTTGCTTTTCATGATTGAGAATACTGTAAGGTCTTAGCCTTAATATTTATTATGATTAGGTAAAGTTGTATCCTATTTTACATCCTCCTTGTAGGGGTTTAACCCTTAATATTTAAATTACTCCAGTGATTTCACATCATAAATAACACCGTAGAGTCTTAACCTCAATATTTTAACTTGTTAAATCAATTCGTAACCCCAATCTTATTTTTCTAACCTACCGGAAAGCACTTTGGCTGCGCTTTAAGTGTGTAATATAAATACAGCTGACTTGTCTTGACTTGTATTAAATACACATCACGGCCACAGTGAGTGTTAAGGTCACTGAAAATTAACTGTCTCTACAGTTATGTCCAAATCAGGATACAAACCATTAGGAGAGCCCCTCTCCTGCCTGCAGATCCTGGAAACACACAGAGAGGATGAGTCCACCTGTGATCGATGCGCACAGCCAGCCTTTAATCTCGTTCACGTGTTCATTCGGGAGTAAAATGATTAATGTTCAGTGCTCACTTTGCCGGATACCCACTTATCCCCCAGAGGGACTCAGAAAATACCCCAAGGACCCTCTGACCCAGTTGGGATCCAGTCCATGCATTTCTCATTACGCCCTCCCGGTTTGGTCTCCACTGTGGCGGTCATGTGATTGCCTGCTGTCGGTGCCCAGCCCTGTCCAGCCCCGAGCGACAGAGGAGCGTCCTCCAGTTGGGCAGCTACAGAGGGAAGCTGCACCTGTCGGATGGACTGGCTGCTGCCAAACCAGGACACACTTATCCAGGACAAGTAAGTGAGACAGACTCCCACCACGCCTGCGTGTGGTAAGTGATCTTTTGTGCGTGGTGTGAAATCCCGCCCGGCGTTATAATTATGATCATCATATTTCTTTTCAGCACACAGCATCATTTATGGTGACAAACAGCCTAATAGAGACATAACATCCTGTAGCAGCAAAGGCTTTTATCACTGCGTAGGCTATAGCATGAGACACGCCTGAGACTCATTTTTATCTTATTTTTAATTTTATATTTTTTTTCTGTTGGGACTTTAGTGTGGGACTGTACTGAGTTTATAATAACATTGTTTGTATAATCTTAGCACTTCTGCTTTCTGGTTCTTTATTATCTCGCAGCTTTCTTAGGTGTCCTTGGTTTATTTTTTTTCATTTGGATGTGGGAGAAAAAGACATACACAGTGATAAACAGACTAGAATGCACAGAATATTGAATGTATGTTACCTCTTAGAAACCACATAATATAAACTACTGGTTGCTCATAGATATATTTATTATAGTCTTCTTTTTTTATTGCATAAAAACTGTGTCACTGAAATTGGGTTGATATCTATCTATCTATCTATCTATCTATCTATCTATCTATCTATCTATCTGTCTGTCTATCTGTCTATCTATCTGTCTATCTATCTATCTATCTATCTGTCTATCTATCTATCTATCTGTCTATCTGTCTATCTATCTATCTATCTATCGATCTATCTATCGCTACATAACAAGCAATTACGCAACCTATATTGAGGATATGTAGTCTATAAAATGCAGAAAACACCCCTGTGTGTTCTGAAGTAGAATCCTACTGATTCCATGTTTACGTTGTTATTGATACAGGTAATCATAGGAAAACATGCAGAGATGCAAAGCTGGGAAAAAAGATTGCATTTTAAAATCAGACAGAAACCATACATTTAGTGTAGTTGCACCCACTCTATGTTTGTGTGTTTGTGTAGAAAGAGATATATCTCACTGTTCTGTCACCTGCAGGTAATGGGTACACTTAGGGACCTCCAATTTGCCCTGCAACTAAAGATTGAGGAGCTTCGCCAGCGGGACACGCTGATAGACGAGTTAGAGTTGGAGTTGGATACAAAGGATGAACTCATTCGGAGACTGCAGGAGGAGCTGGATCGGTACCGAACCACCATCTCCCTCCCAGGACCCTCTGCAGCCGGTGCAGGTGGGCGGCACAGCATGATGCTTTCATGTGTCATATTTTAAAGCACCGACAGGTAGCAGGAGCCTTAAACCTGACTCTAAGCTCTGACTTATTTTTCCCTCTAGCTTGCTCAGCTCTGACTGAAGACGACCACACAGCCAAAAGGACAACGGTCATCTCTGAGCCCTTCAGTCCGGACCCCGTGACCCTTGCCATGGTTTCACACAGAAGCTGTGACAAAAGCCAGGAGTAAGAGCACACAGTGTTCCCTTGGTTTCTACCTCCTGCACCCTGAAAAATGTGACCTGCAATGTTTCAAGCTCACTGTCTGCTTTCCACATGACTCATAATTAACACATATTTCTAACACTGTAGCCTATGACACTGCCTTCAAGGTGTTTAATAAGTTGTCCTTAAATGTTGCGTCCGTGTCCTACCTTCACAGGTCTCAGAGGCTGATTCAGGCAGCGTTTCTGAAAAATGACTTGTTGCAGAACCTTGATGAAGGAGAAATCAGAGCCATCATAACCTGTATGTATCGCAGCACCATCAATCAAGGCTGTTATGTCATTCAGGAGGGGACCGTCGGGGCTCAGGCTTATGTTTTAGAAGGTAAATCATTTTCTTCCTACAACTGCTAACATTAATCATACTTGAGAGAATTTATTAATGTTTCCACACAAGAACAGCCTGATGAAATTACTTGTTTTATCATGTCTTTATTTTTCAATTTCCCTGCTGCTGGCTCACAATTTGATTCGATAATCTGCTCTTAAGCACAATAATGTGGTAATTGCAAGTTCGAGCAAGGAAAGAGAAGCCACTTGGGGGTAGAACAAGTGATCTACATTGACGTTTTGTGTTGAAATGTCAACTTGAACCTAGAGAAATGGGAGAAAAGAGGCTCTGCGTTGCCCTGGTTGCAGAGTTCGTCAGTGCTCAATTGTCCTGAAGAATCTTGGCTGCATTTGTAATGTGACTGCTAATGGAGAGTGGCTGCACTCTGTCCTCTGTCACTGACATGATGATTGCACATCTCTTGATTGTGCAGTAGATCTCAGACAGTCGAAGGTTCTTGACGGCCTCTTTACATTATCTGGCACAGAAACAGATGCATATCACTCTTCTGCGTATTATGTGTCCTCACTGAGTGTATGTTTATTAACAGAAGGGAGGCTGGATGTGACGAAAGACGGACTGAAGCTGCTCACAGTTGAACCAGAAGAAATGTTTGGAGAGCTGGCACTCCTCTACAATTGCACCCACACCTACTCTGTCTCAGGTATCATAGCATTGTGTTGGCCTCTTGGTTTTATAACTGCATTCATATATCACTGGAGGGACGTCAACCGGAAGCGCTGATGGAGTTTCTTGTGTGATTAATTTTGATTTGGTGGGGATATAAATAATTCTTGTTTAGGAGAATATCACAAGCGGGCGGATTCCTGGCAGTGGTCTAAGACAGAAGACGCTGTTGAATTTAAAATCAAAGACATTTCGAGATCTTAGACAACACTGCAGCTTCAAATGCTTTTTCTCAGAGATGTGGTGAATTTAAAACATTTTTCACTTCACTGCATAACCCAGCTGCCTGAGTGCCATGTCTCCTGCCTGTGATCCAACATGCATTATGTGAATTTTCACAAGTATTTACAAATAACATTTTCTAAAAAAAAAAAAAAAAAAAAGTCTGAATTCAGTGGCCCCTGAATGAGACCTATCACGTACACGTTGTAGTGTAAACATTTACCTCAGAAGACACAAACTGTGCTATAATTTCCTTCTAGCATCTGATCACAGAGTCCTATGGGAAAACTTCCTCAGCCATCGCCACGTGCATCTGACCTGGTTTCACAAATAAATAGGCTGTGGAAATGGCCAGGATCAGTTTAAATTGAAAAATCAGTTTATTTGCCGTGTTTGGTCCCTAAGCATCCCATTCCCTTTTTATCCTGCTTTCTTTATCTTCCCACCAGTCAGCCTTTCCAATTTACTGTCCTATACTATTTGTCTGCTCTCTAGTAACAATGCTCGGCTCTTGCTGGCAGTCGGCTGTCCTTTGTTCCATGTCCATTTCTGTCGGCCCTTCCCTTTGGATCTGTTCAGGGCCTACTGCGTTTATCTCCTTCCTGACCTGAAATTACTTTTTCTTTTTCTCCGTGTGGCCATCTGAGACCATAAATAAGGCCTCTGCTTGTATGGTCCCTTTCATTGTGACAGTTATAAAGGAGCTGCTGAAAACAGGGCGTCATCATCAGGTGCTGGAAATTTAGCTTGAGACAAGATAAAAAGAAAATGTCAGAAAGTCTTCCTTCAGTGTTTTACTTTTCAGAAATATCTAGTGCAGCAGACGGAAATCAAAGCCAGTTGTCATAAACTGCATGCGGTGGTGAAGTGGAAACCTATGGGGTATATCCAAATAGTGTAACTGAGATATCAGGGCTGCACCATATTATCAGATGTTGGGTCTAATTAGACTGTCTAGACGGACATTTACTTCTATTTGCAGGAAGCCTCTGTGAACCAATCAATATGGGTCATTATTAATTTACAACACCCTCTTTCAAGCTCTATTATAAAGAAAAAGGGTAATTCGGCCAAGGAAATTAGATTAGATTTATATTAAACGTCCTCGGTAAGACAAACAAGGCCCCACATTTCTGTTTATTCTGCAAGGTAAACATTTCTAATTCAATTCTGCCGCTTGCTCTTTCAGCTGTAGATGCTTTTGAATTGTACGTCGGCATCCATCACAGAGAGCATGTCTGAGAGAGTATATTTGAGATTCTTCAAAGTATTTCCACTTGAGCTCTAGTGTCACTGACACAACCTTTACCGCTTCCTCTGCCTCTGTCTTTTGATCCGCAGCACAAACGGACAGCAAGCTGTGGGTTATTGACCGCAAGAGCTACCAGACCGTACTTATGCAATGTGGTCTCAACCGCCTTTCTCATTCAGTGGAGTTGCTTAGCAGGTGAACACCACACCGATACACTTGATTTGACACGGAGCGGGCGCGGAAAGCTGCTTTGTATTCGGGTAATATCACAGGGGTCATTTGTTCGTCAGTCCCCGTAATGCTGCGTTTAGGCCTCTAACACTGAACACAATATCAACATGATGTTTCTGCATATGTTCGCGCACCTGCAAACTATAGGGGAAAAAAAAGAAATCTATCAAACCTGCAGCTGTGGATATCTTTCTTCTCTTTTACCTGTGTGCAGCCTTCCCTTCCTGCAGTCATTGCCAGAGGATGTCATCATGAGAATGTCTGATCTCATGGAGGAGGTACAGCTTAACTCTCTAAAACGTGAAGCACAATATTGTAAAACCATCGCTCAGTGTTCAAACAGAATCCAGCCAGTAGATTATGCATGCAGGCAGAAGAACAGTTTCAACATTTTCTATTTTCATGCTTCTTTGTGTGGCATCTGTGTAACAAAAACAGGAGCAATGATCACTTCAAAATTACTTTTTTCTTTGTTTCTAAAGCCGGTTATTCTCTTTTTAAATTATTTCCCACCGTTTGTCATCTGTCTTCCGCAGACGCATTACACTAACGGTGACTACATCATTCGACAGGGGGCCACAGGAGACACGTTTTATATCATTAGCAAAGGCCAGGTAAAGTTTTATGCTCTCTGCCTGCCGCACAGATGAAATGAGGCTTTCGGTGAAAAAGATTTAGACTGTGGAGGACAAAATGTCACAGTAGCTTTAGAAATTACTCTATGATGATGATAATTGACTTTCCTGCATTGCTCGTCATCATTACCTCACTTTCATTTCCTCTGTCTTTTGAATTTTGCCAGGTGAAAGTGACAGACAAGAAGCCGGGGCAGGAGGAGCAAATAGTCCTCAATAAGCTGTCTGAGAGGCAGTGGTTTGGAGAAAACGCTCTGTGGGGGTACAAAGGAAATAATACACTTTTTGAGGATGCTGAAGAGGAAATTATGCACATTGTTGAGCAGCTCTTATGAAAACAGCACTTGATAAGTGGCATTAAAACTTATAATATGCATCAGCACGATTTTCTTCTTTTAATATTTTATTCTTTGCATTGACAGGCATCATTTTACTAATGAGACTCTCTTGACTGTGTCTGTAGAGAGGACATTCGAACTGTGAACGTGATAGCCGCTGGCGATGTTACATGCCTGGTAATAGACAGAGAGTAAGTGGATATTTTGTGTTAATAAAATGAACTACGAATTAAGAATGTAACTGATTCTGCTGCAACACTTCCCTCTAATTTGGTCATGAGGTGATTTTCTTTTTTAGAAATCTGGTGACTCTTCGCTTTGCTTCTCTGTTTCAGGAGCTTCAAGGACATTATTGATGGGTTGACATTTGACTGCCGTCAAGAAGTTCAGCAAAACAATGACTCCAAAGTCGAGTGAGGAGCATCACCACGCAGTTTCTATTTGCAGCTACAGAAAACAACAAAATACCAACTCACCTTTGCTTTTTTCTTCTTGTGTGCAGATCAGACTTGGATCCTGCCCTCCTGCCATCTTCCACCTTAAGAGATTTTCAGATTATTTGTACTTTGGGAGTAGGGGAGTTTGGTCACGTAGACCTGGTAAGAGTTGATCCTACAGACGCTTACACATAATGACACAAGCCTCGGTGCTGCTGCTGCTGCTGCTTCATTTAGATTCCATGTTTCTATAATGTAACGCATTGATTTCCCCCTTTGTCAGGTGCAACTAAAGAGCAACACCAAGTGTCTTTTTGCCATGAGAGTCCTGAAGAAGATGTTGATCCTCAGCAACGGTCAGCGAGAGCACATCCTGAGAGAAGGTCGCATCCTAATGGAGGCCCAGTGTCCATTCATAGTCAGGTGTGTGTCCTTCTAGTCAGGATTATCTTGGTGATGTATGGTAATGGTGGAAAAAAGATCTAACATGTATTTTTATTGACCACAGGTTGCATAAAACCTTTGGAGATGCCGAGAATCTATATGTGTTGACAGAAGCTTGCCTTGGTGGGGATTTGTCTAGTCTACTCAAGGATAAGTAAGTATGCAAATAGATGTTTAAGACACATTTTTTTTCATCATACTGAGTAAATACTGGCCAGGGCTCCCTTGTAAAAGAGATCTGAAATCTCAATGGGACTCACCTGGTTAAATAAAGGTTAATAATAATAAATAATAAATATTTATGGTCCCACTGTGTTTTTAGTCACATTTTCATCACAGTGAAAATGTAAGTCTGAGCTGGGTCTGATGTGTCAACAACATTTTGTATGCTGTGATGCTTCAATCTACACTCCTCCATTATGTTGCAGAGGATTTTTAAACGAATGCAGCACAAAGTTCTACACGGCTTGTGTTGTCGAGGCCTTGACCTTTCTTCACTGCCAGGGTGTCGTCTATAGAGACGTCAAGCCTGAAAATGTCATCCTGGATGAGCACGGCTACGCCAAGCTGGTAGTACAACTGCTTACAAGCATAAGTCCTCGTTTCCTCCAGTGAATTTTACAAGCGCTGACTGTAAACGTGATATCTGCCTGCTGTTAGATTGGCTCCAGATGTCTGAAGAGGGTTGAGGTGGGGAAGAAAACCTGGACGTTCTGCGGTACACTGGGCTACATGCCACCTGAGATCATCTTGAACAAAGGCCACAGTATTTCTGCAGACTGCTGGTCTCTGGGTGTTTTTGTGTTTGAACTTCTGAGTGGTGGGTAAGCTTCGCCGTTTTTTTGCCACCTCGCTTTTTAAAGCTCCTTTCTCCACTTGTGAGATAGAAGTTATCTTGATGGGCTCCTATCTTCCTCTCCAGGCTCCCATTCAGCGCCTCTGATCCAGTGAAGATTCTCACTGCAACCATTCGTGGCATCGATCAGATCGACTTCCCGAAATCTATCAGCAAAAGTGCCTCCAGTCTCATAAAGAAACTGTGCAGGTGCAAAAATAACCCACTAAACACAATGAAACACAATGTGAGGGCAAACTACAGTTTTATTGTTTAAGTGCTTTTTCACACATAAAAACCTCCACCCACCTTTCATGGATATTGTTTCATTTTTCCGTCTTCCAGCCTCGCCAGAAATAACAGATAGGAGCAAATTAAGAAACAATGCAGGTGTATTGGCCACAAGCCGGGCTGCTTTGCCACCTCTTGAAGGAGAGAATGTGATTATTAATTCATAGCTTATTTATTGGTGTGCTCTTTTTCTCTTTCCGTCACCAAGGAGCAATCCCTCAGAGAGACTGGGCAGCCAGAGAAACGGGGCCAAGGACATTCAGAAGCACAAGTAAGATGACAGATTTATCACGCCGGAGAAATATTCTATGTCCAGGCTTCCTGTTCAGGTTTTATAGGTTATGATATTTTGTCTTTCTTCAGGTGGTTTGAAGGTTTTAACTGGGACGGACTTTGTAAAAGAACTTTAACCCCCCCAGTTGTTCCCACAGTAAGACATGTTCAGTTTGCCTTTATGCTGATGATAACTCTTATTGCAGTGACTCAAAATCTGCTTTACATGTCAGAGTGATTCTTCCTTTTTGTTCCCGTTACACTGTTTTTCAGGTTAAGCATCCTCTGGAAAGCAGCGCATGTGCTCTTTATCCTGAGGACTCGGTGGAGCTGTGTGCAAACTGGGACGATTTCTGATGAATTTCTGTGAACTGTAAAAAAAAAAGAAGAAGTCTGTCAGACAACACTTCATCACTTTCAGGACTTCATGAATGATTCACTGCCCTCAGTCTTACTGCCATCGAGAATTAATTATATTTTCAGACAAATGATATTTTCCACAGTATCAGTAACTGCAGATGTTGTTTGATAAATGAACCATGCTGCCTGCTGTGTTAACCTCAGACTGTTTTTTTTTTTTTTGAGTGTGAAATCTTTATAGCTTTACAAACACAAGATAAGAGTTGTGTGATATCGAATGTAACTCAGTAAATAAACAGGCTGCATTAAAACTGTCTCTGTGAGTTTCCTCCTACATCTGCTTTCTTTCTTTTATGGTGCTGTGCAGTTACTCTGTCACTGTTTGGTGTCTCCCTGAAATACATGAATGTAATTAAGGAGTGACGTCAGTCTTGCATAAAAAAAAAGTCAAGAAAGAAAGAAAAACGCAGAAAGTGGTTTACTTCAATTTCAAAATAAAGTAACTCAAGTCAAAGGACGTTCAGCTGAAAACTGTAGAATGATGTTAGAATTACATAAGATCCTTTTGAAAATTAGCATTATTATTCATAAGAAGAAATGTCCAGAAGAGAAAACAAGAAATCTTCTTTTTTTAACCGTAAAAATGTGCATGTTTTTAAATTCTTAGTTGAATGGGTTAAACCATTCTTTTCCAACAAAATTTCCCAATTAATTTTAAAAATATATACCCCAAAGTTGATATATATACATAATAGAATAATCTAATATAATCATCATGTATATTTCATTTTAGAATTATCTCTCTAGATGAACTTTTAGTTGACTATAAATGTCAAACTTACCGGACATGCGCAGGGTGCGTCCCACTGTGTATTATTTTGAAGGCTGCGACCAGAACTGAAGGTGTTTTTGTCTCCAGCTGGACTTGAGGACAGATTCCGATGGATCTGCAGCAGAAGTAGTAACGTTGGAGCACAATCCAGGACAGTTTGGAGGTCTTGCCTTTTACTCAGGTAAGTTTCATTTGTTGTTTCTTTCTTTGTTGGTTTGTTTTCAGTCGTTTGAGCCCGTTTAAGAAACACAGGTTTAAACTAAGGAGACTCAGGATCCGATGCAATAATAAGAAAAGTTTGGCTGCAGCCCGCCGAGCTCAGACTTGCAGCGTGCAGATGGATCAACCTGTTAACTTAGTTTGAATGGATTCATTAGCTTTAAAGGCTCCAGTGATGAAACAGGAGCTTCACAGAGGCACACAACCAAAGAAGTCAGTGTTCTCCAGAGAGACAGAGAGAAAGTACTTTAGTATAGTTTCTAAAAGCACATTTCTTCTAGTTTAGTGTACTGCATTTGAGAGATCTACATTAAAAGTTGTGCTACATTCCACTTCAAACTGCATTTAAGGCATGCTTTAAAGATTCAAAGTGTATTTTAACATTTATTACCTTGTTGAAACATATAGTGTGATACAGTAGGCTGTAGTGTGACAACAAAAATGCTCAAAAATGCATTTAAACTTCACTAAAATGCAGTTAAATTATACTGGAAATAGAACAATTATGAAAACTTTGCAGGACACTTTCCTGCACTGAACATAAGTCCACTTGTTTTGTGTTGAATAGTAATCACTTCAGCAGAATGTATAGTATGAAGTGTTGTACCGAAATACTTCTAATTTATAGTTGGTGGATATTTTCTGGCTTTTTTTTGTTTTGTCTAGAAAAACAGGATTTTCTCTTGTATGCAGTCTAAAAGTATTAAAGTGTAGTTTTGTGCAAGTTATTTTTACTGTGTTCTCCACTTATACATACAAATACACTGTCTGTATTAAATATGTATATAATTGACTTATTAACAATAAAGCTACAAAGATTAATCAATTCATCAGCAAGTTGTTAGCTATTATATTCATTGCTAACTTTTATAATGAGTGTTTTTCGAGACACCTTCGATTGTAGCTTCTTAAATTTGAATATTGAATATAACCAAGCAAGACATGTGAGTACGCCATCTTGGTCTTTGGGAAACACTGATCGATGTTTTCACCTTTTTCTAAGTTTTTAGAGATCAAACATAGTTGAAAAATGGAGAAAATAATTGGTTGAGATTCATTGATAATGAGAGTAATAGTCGTTGCTGTCTAAATTAACAATACTGTCTACTTCTATTGTTTTGAAAGCATTACTTACAGATTGCATTTTATGAATTGTTCCTAAGTTGTATTTAAACATATTAACGCCACATCTTCATACAAGTTATATTTTCAGTATAAGATCACTTCTTTAGATTTCAAACCTTCTAAAATGATCAGTTTTCTAAACATTTTATGAATACACAGAGCAAAAAAAAAAAACACAAAAGTGAATTAACAGCCTAATTCATTCTTTTAATCATTTCATTTTGTCATTTAAGTTTTTTTTAAAAATCACAAACACCAAAATTACAGCTAGGCAGTGGTAAGCTGAACATGTTGAAACTTAATGTATTTATCTGACAACAAAATTCCCTTTGAATTAATACCACACAGTACATATTGTATCTGTCCCAAAAACATTGGCAGCCTCAGTTAATGACTCTAAATGTGTTGTGCATCTTTTCAGACAAAAAAAAATGGCACATTTACCATTTTCCACTGCAAAAACCTTGCAGACCTTCTGAATAATATAAAGCGTGATCAAAACTGGTGAAAAATACTTTTCTGCACAGCCTTGTTGGTGTTGATGGACACCGTGGTCTGCACAGCTTACCTCGGGAGCACTTTTGTGGCTTTTTGATTTTTTTCTTATACATAAAAAAATCGAACAAAGACGTTCTTTTAGTGCTCTGTTAGCTCATTGTTGCATTTTCTCCGTATGGCAGCTCTAATGTCAGACTCTTCTGGTGCAGTGAACATCACCTTCAGTAGGAAATGAATGGACAGATGGATGAATGAGTGACAGTCACTCATCTTTGCCATCATGACGGTAACTGTTATTTTGTGCCCTTCTTCAGTGTAGAAATGGAAAGTGCAACTGAATACAAGATTAGGTGACCTGTCTGACATAAAGAGGCACAAAGTAGCTCATAGGAGGAACCACCTTGCAGTGTTAAAGAAAGTGATCCAAATCTGTGATTAAATGTGATGCTCCTCCCCTTCAAGCTCATGAAGTTCCACCTGGTAGTTTTGCACAATCTTGCTGACAGAAGAATGACATTGAAAACATGACCTCAGCTGAGTCTCGGCCTTCTTGGTGGAGCTCATAAAGAACATTGCAACATCCAAACAAATCTATCTGGGTATAGTTCTACAAAGAAAGCAGAAATATATTGATGAGAAATCTTCACCTCAGAGGATAATGATTGCAAATCCTGTATACTTGATCTTTTTTTTCTTTTTTTTTAAGATTCCTTCTTCAATGGAGAATCTGAATAACCTCGACACCCACAAAACAAAGCCCATTATTGTTACCGTCTAAAGCACTGAAATGCGTAGCTACTGGAGCACGGTTTTTCACAAACTGTTTGTGATCACAAATGCAGACAGAAGTACAACAGAATGCAGGGAAATCTGAACACAGTGTTGGCAAAATATTTGACTCCTGCCACAAGAAGATCTTTTATTTATAAGACTGTCTTTTAAAGTCCAACATCAACACATTTGTTGGTAAACATCAAATTTTAAGTAAAGCAAAATAACATAAAAGATTAAGACAATAAATTGGATTCTGCCTTTTATTGTTATTTTTTGGACAATTGAGGAAAGTATGAGGTACAAGGCTATGCTGATATATGATATCAGTAAGAATATTTACAGGAAATGTGTTGGCGTTATGAGCACATTCAACAAGAAAGTCTAAAGTGGATGCTGAGTCATGGCAAAATCTTAGAGGTAAGACAAGCGATTTGTCAATAATTTTATTGCCAAGACAGAAGAGCACATAATGTGTAAACACAAATATTTCACTTGGAACCGTGATGATAAATCTCCACTTGCCAGACATGTCAGTGCTCATATTTATAATCTTACTGAAAACGCTTGCCGTGATATTTCAGTAAGATTTAATTTGATCATATGCATTTACAACATTCTTTACTGAGTATTGTTGCTGTCAGTATCTCTTATCAGCAACACCACTGAGCTTAATTATGTCTTAAAGCTCGTTTTTGCTTAGTTGTAACACAGTTTGCGTTAGAACAATACCTGAAAGATTATTGCTTGGAAAAATAATTGAAGTAAAGCACTGTGTTGCTCACACACACACACACACACACACACGCACACACACACACACACACACACACACACACACCATCCTATGTGAGTTTGGTTGGATGCCTGCTCCTTCTGCAGTGCAGGCATGAAGAAATATGGATGAACTCCAACCAAATAGTTAGGATGTGGACACACATGATGTTTAATAATAAATTAATTTCATGGAAGGATGGTTCTTTGAAGTATTTTTGAGCATCAGATGGTGGAGAGGTGAAAGGGCACAGGTCTCTGAACTGGAGATGTTACAATCGCAGTATGTGGTAGTCGTGGCTGGCAGATGGCAGGCCGACATGAGATTTCAGTCGATGCTTTCTTTGATTAGCAGAATCAAAATGAGGTAGTGCCATAATTTTTTACATTTCCTTGACGTGTTATTGCTCACTGCTTTTTAATGCCTATAAAAGTGAGTAAATTCATGAACTATTATTCAATGATGTAATTGCACAATAGCAAATATACATTTATAAAACATACCCTGTTGCATGAGTCTGAATGTTCATCATCTTCCTCCATGTCACCACCAGCAGTGACCCCCGAAGCTGCATCCTGCATTTAGTAAGAGAATTTCCAGAGCTTGATAGCACGAACATCATAGATATGTTTGATGTATAATCCCAACACATGACTAAAAAATGAGATGCCAGGCAGCTACAATAAAACCTGTGTGAGTAACAGTGAGAATAATAATAACTGTATTTATATAGCACCTTTCAAAAACAAAGTTGCAAAGTGCTTGACAATAAAAACTGATATTGCAAGTAAACAAGATCCAAAACACAAAATATCACAAGATATCATAAATTAAATAGCGACAGCAACAGTTAAGAAGAAGTCGTATGATAAGGGTGAATCCTAAGAAGAGATTTAAAAGAGAACACTGTGTTTGTCTGCCTGAGATCTCCAAGCAGGAAGATCTACAGCTAAGGGGCTCAAACCGCAAAGGTCCACTCACCTTTAGTGACAAGTAAAGACTTTGAAACTGTCAGCAGGATCCTGCTGGAGGATCTTAGGCAGCGATAAGGCTCATAGGAAGTTAGCAGAATACAGATACAGGCAGCTGCCTGACCATTCAAGGCTGTAAAAACCAGCAGTAAGCTCTTAAAATCAGTTCTAAAACTCGTCTGTAACCTGCGAAGGGCAGCAAGGATTGGGGTGATATGATCACTTCTGTTGGTGCATGTTAAAAGCCTGGCAGCAGCATTTTAAAAATAACTGGAGTCTTTTAGATGTTTCGCTTGCTGATACCACAGTAAAGTGCATTTCAGTAGTCAAGTCTGGAGGGGCACCAATAAAAGAATGGATGACCTTTTCTAAGTCAGCAGCAAAGAGGGATGGATGGATCTGGGTTTGCTGTCTCAGCTTGGCAAAGCAAGATTCACAGCTCTGGTCACCTGAGCATCAAAAAAAAAACACAACACTGAGGTTGCAAGCTTTTTTGATTAACTAAAAAGGGACCAGAGGAGAGATTGTTAATGCTTCCAAAGCTGGGAAGATGATTACGGTTCCTACAGATGTGGAGTCATTTAGCTGCAGGGAAAATATTAGAAAGCCAATTTTAAATTTAAGCAAAGCAGGACATAATATGAGTGACATTTGTGGTACCGGGTTTTCACAGGACATACAATTGAGTGTCATCCGCGTAGCAATTGAAGTCACAGCCTCTGTATAGTATGCCTATCATGCAAGATCTTACTCTCTTCTTGTACCACCTTGTTGGTTAGCTCAACAGATAAAAGGGACCTACACAGTAAGGTTTCACATTGG